TTTATTTTTGAATTTTTTGGGAGTAATTCTCATATAGGGCAAAAATCACGTGCTTACAGACATGACAAATGGAAAGGCAGATATGATGAGTCAAGTGAAGGAGCCTAGTGAAGACAATGCAGCTTCTTCCTCAAGGGAACCAGGTACCATAATTACAACCACTGAAGCAAAAAAATAGTGGTTGATGCAGTGCAAGATACTTCACAAGTAGCTGAGAGAATAACACAAGAAAATCAGCTAGATCTACCCAACGGACTACCAGAAAATATGCCTATTGCAATGACATTTGTAGCAACAGTTACATAACCATTGCAATAGACCATCTATTGGAACGGTTTCACCCGTTGCATAAGCCTGTCGAACCTATTGGAACATCTCTAAAAATAAACCGTTATAATAGTACAATAACCATTGCTATAGATTTATCTATCGCAAACAGTTGTCATAACCATTGCAATAGCTTTATGTATGGTAACGGTTAGTCAAAATTTTTGGCTTTTGCAACAGTTTTACTTTCCCCCCATAATTTCCCTCTTCTAATTTCACTAAACTCAATTTTACTAGCACCTAGCCTTTTATTTAATTCCTAAAACTTGTCCTGTTAACCTTAGAACATATCAAAATATCCATATACCTTCTCGTAGCTTTGACCCCTTGAAACCCTGACCCCTCCGACGAGTCACTCATGCAAGGCACTCTGTCAAGGCTATAGCACATCTCTTCAATCTCACAGAGTCTAGGGAAAGTAATATTGTGGTAGCGACGAAGAGTCAAAGTCTGGTTCTTTCAGGTTGTCCTTCTTGAAGGGCGTGCTTTATGGTGCAAGAGTCCCTTTCCTCTGAGATCCATGTATCTGCTACCAGATGAAGTGAGACCATCAAAGTTCTCTGTGCTTGCGTAAGTTACAAATCTTGTTTTATTAAGATTTTATTTTGTGATTTATCTCTAAATGAGTGAATAAATTATTTGGTTAATATCCAATTAGGTGCCCCTAACTGTGTTGGTAGAAAAAAGAACTTGAATTTCCCAAGTGTGTCATCTGATTCTGCTTATGGTATTTGTGAGATTGTATGCTTGATTGATTTTTCACTCTTGAGCTCTTGGATTTCATTGTACTATGTCTGCTTTGTTATTACATATTACCCTTGTGCTATTTCAAGAGAAGTTTTGAAGTAAATGGGTATAACTGTAGATTTAATTATTGGCACTACCTAGAAGTGAAATGTTCGTAGTATATTAAATTGAAGTTTCAAAAAATTTGGGGGAAAATCTGCTCCATATTTGTTGAAGCAGTATTATAATTTTTAGTCTAACAAGTGTTTGAAATTAGTTCTCAATGAATTCCTTTGAGTGCCGTATACAAATAATGCTGCAATTGAATAAAGGTAGAGTGCATATCAGCATGATAATTTGTATTTTAAGCTTATTGTATTGATCATTCTATCTAATCATTCATGAGACCAAAACTCAAAAACGAGATTTCAGTAAATGGGAGATTCCACCCACTTATAGTTCGCAAAAAATAGCACCAATAAATTACTTTCTTTTTTCACTACTATGCATTAATCTGTACAAATATATTGTATTTATGGCATGCCAAATCTTATATTACCAGTATGGTTAATGAAGAGGATACGGTAGAAGAAGAAATTGATGAAAAAGATATTGAAATGACTAATGAATACTACGAAGATAGATCTTCAGATGCAGACATAGGTGGTGGTTAAGGCTAGTATTCCCCGAGAGGCAATTTATTTCCGAAAATAATAAAGAGAGGAAAAGCTCTTGAGGTATCATGACTTTTTTTTACTCTCTTTCTTGAGTTGTTATATTGGTGTTGATTGGACTACATGAATGTATGGAAATAACCATCTGAAATGCAAGGTTATTTCCATAAATTAAGTGAAATACTTGCAAAATGGTAGATCTCATGTCAAAATGGAGTTTTTACTTTAAGATATCTCTATGGCATATAATATATCAATAATAAAAATTGGGAATTCTTTTAGATTCACTGTATAATCATTGTCACTAGGAACTTAGGAAGGTAGTTTTACTTCTACTTATAATGTTTATCTACGGGTTGCATTTATATTAAAGTTCATACAATTTGAATTCCTATATCAACCTATAAAGCAAGAAAAAAGAAGTCAAATACAATATGATTAGTCATGGACATATTGACACGGTAAACTTTGAGAAATGATACAACAGAGGAATGTCACATATCGTAGCATAGAAAATCATAAATATATCATACAAAGAAATGTTGAAACAGAAATGTGGAACATATCATATAAAGAAATGTGATGATAGCGAAATAGTCGAGGCACGCACAAAGCCTAGATACCACTACTAGGAAAAAAGAAAAAAAATATTGAGACAGAAAAGATAGGATAATCTCATGCATAAAAATTAATAGGAAGTATCTTTTTTTGGGTAGTAATAAATTTTTTGATCTATTCAAATAAAACAATTATCTTCTCCATCCACCAAAGCAATCACGTTCAGTTCCTGCAACAATGCTTCCAATGCATCAATCTCCCAATGCCTCTTAAACATTAGCTATCAAATACTTTCATTGTTAAGCTTTCAACTGACTTGCCTGTAAATCTTCGTGACATTAATTAAGGCAAAGGTTTTATGAAATTGGATCTACTTTACTAAAGAGCTTTTTTCGAGACATGTTTCAAGTGACAATAAGTTGTTTGTTTGATTGTGCCAATAACTGTGTCATTGGACTTGTTTTTCTTTTTCCAGATACATTTTTAATGTGTGAATGAAAGTTGTGCGGTTTAGATAATTATATAGAAGTCCTTTATATATGGTAATCACTTATCCTCTTGTAAATTGAAGCGATATCGTTTCTATTCTTGTTGTTCCTATGGTACCAAAGTAATAAATAATGGTCCTTGAAGTGCCTGCAAAACTGATTATTGTCCCAACTGAAGGTTGAGTTCCCATGGTAGAACTATAATGAGCCTTTTGATACTGTATCATTGCTTATGTTTAATTTTACAGTGATAACATGGCCAACTCAATTTACATGCAGCTTTTAATTTGAAGGGGGCTAATTAGTTTTAAACTTTTTTTTCTTTTGTAGGAATGTCCAAGCTTCAGCCCAAAACTTGCATATAATCCTTATAATGAGCCCAACATTGAAGTTTTCAGGTTCTAAAAGTATATTTGTCTATTTTGATGAAACTATTATTTTTTGTCAGGTTAATATTTTTTTTAAATGTTGTCTTATTCCAGCACTTAGTTCATCTCTGGGACTGCTTTGAATTTGCAGTTGCGAAGTTTTATTGACTTCCTTGATCTGAATTGCATTGTTAACCATTACAACACCATTTTGATTGCAATCAATAATCTTTCTTTAACTGGCCATATGTAGGGGCTTTAGTTCATCTCTAGGTTGGAAAATTTGATTTAAGTTATTTTTCGTTATAAGAGCTGGCATATTTAGGGATGGATTTGCAATCAGTGATCTCTCTTCTAACTGGCCATATGTAGATCCTTTACTTCATCTCTGGGACAACTTCGAATTTGCGAAGCTTTATTGACTTCTTTGAGCTGGATTGCACTTGAAGTTTCAAGGTACTACTTAGATTGTATACTCGATGTTAAATTCTTTTAAAAAATTTACTAAATCATTTATTTTTATCTTTTATAAGTGGATCGAATGAGCAAAGAGTGGATGAAAGAGGTAAAAATATTGCTTAGAATTATGGGGTTATTCTAAAAATATTAGTGTATTAAGATATTTTAGGAATCTTTTATTTTGGATTTTTATTACTTTGAGAGCTTATGTATGCTTTTGAATTGTTAGACAATAGTATAAAGTTTATTTTTATGGAAAGTCTAAATAAATTGTTGCAATATCTTCAACAAATTGTTTGCAAGCCTTCATGAACTGTTGCGGTGACTGCTAATAACTGTTGCAATAGCTTCTAATAACTGTTGCAGTAGCTCCTAATAACTGTTGCGATAGCCTCTAATAACCATCAAGTGAAATACTAATAACCGACGCAATATATCATCTAAACCGTTGATAAAGCAGAAAATACCATTCCCTAAAATAATATTGAGATGATTTCGAACCATCCCATTTGACTAAGTAACCATTACAATAGATAGACCTATTGCAAGGGTTCCAAAATCATTACCATATATGGACCTATTGCAACAACTATGCAACCGTTGCACAAAACCGTTGCGATAGAGCTATTGCCACGCGGCCGGATGTGACGGTCACTAAACCATTGCAATAGGTCTATGGTAACGGTTTTCGTATCTATTGTAACGGTTTTGCCGTTGTTGCCATAGATCAATTTTCTAGTCCTCTCCAAGTGAGCCTCAAATACCCAACTGGAAACACAAAAGCTCTCATCCTCTTGACAACATAATTACCCCTCTAGACTCTGGAGTGCAAACCAGATCAAAAGCCATAAATTCACTTGCCTTCTCAGCTTTTCTTTCCCAAATAGAACCCAAAAACATCAAGGAAGCCTTAAAGGATGCAGACTGGATTACAGCCATGCAAGATGAGTTGCATAAGTTTGAAAGGAACAATGTATGGCACCTAGTTCCTAGACCCTCAGATCGAATCATCATAGAAACCAGGTGGGTATTCAGGAATAAACTTGGAAACACTACAAAGAATAAGGCTAGGCTAGTGGTTCAAGGTTACAATCAGGAGGAAGAAATTGATTATGATGAGACGTTTGCTCTGGTTGCTCGCATGGAAGCTATCAGAATCCTAATCGCTTTTTCATCTCATATGGAATTCACTCTATTCCAAATGGATGTCAAAAGTGCATTTCTGAATAGACTACTTAAGGCAAAAGTCTATGTAAAGTAACCTCCAGGGTTTGAATGTCATGAACACCCTGAATATGTGTTTAAACTGGACAAGGCATTGTATGGGTTGAAGTAGTCTCCTCGAACTTGGTATGAAAGACTATCAAAGTTCCTCTTAGAAAATGGTTTTACAAGAGGGGAAATTGACAACACCTTGTTCCTGAAGAAACAGGGAGGAACCTGCTCATTGTTCAGGTATATGTTGATGATATTATTTTTGGGGCAACAACTGATTCACCGTGTGAGGAATTTGTAAAACTCATGGGAAGTGAGTTTGAAATGAGCATCATGGGGAGCTGAATTTCTTCTTGGGTCTTCAAGTGAAGCAGTCCACAAAAGGTACATTCATTTGTTAGCAAAAATACTGCAAAGAGCTCTTGAAGAGGTTTGGTATGGAAATATCAAAAGTGATAGACACTCCCATTGCAACGGCTACTCGACCGGACATGGATGAGTCTGGATCTCTTGTGAATCAAACTATGTATAGAGGAATTATTGGGTCTCTTCCCTACCTCACTGCCAGCAGACCTGATATTGTCTTCAGTGTGAGGATATGTGCAAGGTTTTAGTCAAATCCTAAAGAATCTCATCTGAAGGCTGCCAAAAGAATTCTGAGATATCTTAAAGGAACACAGGACTTGGTCATGTACTACTCCTCAAGTGACAGTTTTAATCTTATTGGGTATGATGATGCTAACTATGCATGTTATCTTGCGGACAAAAAAAATACTTCTGGAATGGCTCACTTTCTAGGATCATGTCTCATCTCATGGGGAACAAGGAAGTAAAACTCAGTGGCTCTTTCAACAACTGAAGCAGAATATGTAGCTGCAACTTTTTGATGTGCTCAGCTCCTATGGATCAAACAACAGTTGGAAGATTTTGGTGTATACACTAACTGTGTGCCTCTTCTATGTGATAACACCAGTGCACTCAACATGGCCAAAGATCCAGTTCAACACAAAAGAACCAAGCACATTGATGTGAGACATCATTTTCTGAGGGATAATGTGGACAAAAGGCTTATCTGTATGAAGTTATGCAGTACAAAAGACTAAATTGCAAATATCTTCACCAAAGCATTGAGTAGGGAGCATTTTGAAAGAGATAGAGTGAAGCTGGGGCTATTGAAGCCTAATTGAGAACCTGATTCCCATTAGTGGCTATGAAAGTCACCTTCATGTAATATTAGCTAAAGTGTTTTCTAGCCAAGTCTAACTCACTTCAATACCATTGCAGGTAGACACGCATGATGATTATAGAAGCTATAGATGCATTGCATGAGTGGTAAAAGAGGATTGAAATTTTCAAAGACAGGTCAAGAACCTGGTTCTTGTACCAAAAGGTTAGTAGTCCTGTGCATTCTTTAATACACATCTTAAAAAAGGTGCAAATATCAACTGCCATGTCATCTACCTTTTTAGACTCTGCTGTCACGTCTTTTCATTTCAAATCCTTTCATCTCCCTCTAAAACGTTGCCACTTCCCAAGCACTACCGTCGTTTCTGAACCGATTCCTATCTCTCTCCCTCATAATTATCTTCTCTCATTAAAACCCTCTCTTCTCTTCACCGGTCATATTCCCTCATAAGACCTTCTCCCAAAAAATTCTCAACTCTATCTCTTCAATGGCTGACAATTACTCCAAATCCTTTATTCACTCGACACTAACCCAGAGAAAACCCTTGAGTCCTCCGTCCCTGATAAATCCTCTGTCACCATTCCAGTCTTAACCACTGAAACCACCTCCAACCCAGATTTTCCTTCACTTTCCAGTTCTAATGCAACTATCTCAGACCTCCCTCTCCCTCTAAATGATGATGACTCAAAAGCCCTAAAAATCGATGATCCTTCATCTCTATCTTCTGAGATTCTCACCGACCAAGACAAAAGTGGATAATAGGGTAAAGGTCTAAAAGCTGTAGAACTTTCAGGGGCTAGGGTTGATCAACCTTCCACCATTGTTGCTTCAGATTCTGTGGTGTCCATGGAGTCTCTAGATGAGGAAACTGTCGCAACCATTTTTGTTGTCTCTACAGATGGAATAGTGCATGAGGTAGTTTCTGGTGTACCCAAGTCTCAGAGGAATGAGACACAGAAGTTAGTGGAAGAAGGAGCCATAGTGCTGTTGGAAGCTCTGCACCAGCAGAAACTACTGGGACTCCTATGGAGGACCCGATTCCTCTCCAGAGGAAACAAGTCAAGGATCTCCCTCCCAGGTCAGTTCTGCTCCTGCATCTTCTCCATACTTTGTTGTTCAGCCCTTGGAAATTCTGGTTCTTGAGATGAGGTCTAGTGATGAGAAAGATCAAGACAACATTGCTCTAGATGCATTTATTGTCAAGCAAAGGCCATTAGTCACTGCTGAGCCCTCTACCAAGCGACCTATTACTAGGTTAAAAGCAAACGAGGCTTATGTGTCTTCCCTCCAATAGAGCAAAAGGAGCAATAAGAAGAAAAAGAAGAGGTTGGTGAAAAATGGATAGATAGTTTGTGATAAGAGTGTTCCTGTGGTGGAAGTGGATGAGGAAGCAACAGAGGAACCTAGTTTCTTGGTGAGAAGGTCCTAGAAGAAGAAGCAATCTGTTTCAGTGGAAAATGTTACAACCCCCAGTTCAAAGTTGAAAAATGTTGTGAGTGAACCATCAGTTTCTGATGAGGATGTTTTGGTCAAGTCTAAGGGAAAAGCAAAATCAAGTGTTGTGAAGTCTGGCAAGAGAAAGTTGGAACCTATTAAGGAACCTGTTTCTGCGAAAAAGGTGAGAAGTGAAACAAGTTCTGCTACAGAACGATTGAGGCACCAAAAGGTCTTGTTGGGTCGCACTTTTGACCCAGCAATTTCTGATATGGCTGGCATGAGACAAGTAATTGCAATGGTTGAGTTTCAACGGTGGGGGCATTTATTCCAAATGGATGCACCCAAGGTGTATGAGGATGAAGTTCAAAGCTTCTATGCCGACCTTTTTCCTGTTGATACTGACAACATTTGTACCTTGGTTAATAGGGTGGATATCGTGTTTGATGTGGGTCTGCTTGGGGACATTCTAAAAGTCCCTACGGTTGGTGTGTCTACAGTGAAAGATGTGTGTCGGTCAAACTTCCGAAATGCTATCGTGAAGGATAATGCAAACCAGAAAGGGGACCAGGTTCACAAGAAAGCCTTGCTCCCTATTTATCAGATGCTCTTCGAGCTGGTGAACAAGGTTCTTTTACCCCGTGTTGAGAGGAGGTCCATGACTTCCAGGTCTGACTTGTATCTAATGGAGCAACTGGATGGATTTACACCTACGAGATTGCTTGCCATCATGATTGAACATATGCAGAAGTAGCAACTTTCAAGGATGGCAATCATGGTCTTCCGTATGGGTTTCTTCTTACGCACGTGTTTAAGTTCTTCAAAGTGCCACTGGGACATGGCAAAGTAGGGACCAAGAAGCAAACCTTCTCTCAAACAACTTTAGAAGAATGTGAGTGCATCGAGAAGAATGGGGGAGTTAGGCAGTACATCGACAATCTCTCAGCTCATCAATGCTCAAAACAGTGTAACTGAGGAGATTCGAAGGTTGAAGGCGAGGAACGCTATCTTTGAAGGTCAGCAGGCTCAAGGGGCCCCAGGATCAAATAAGGAGATAGCTCATTTGACAAAAGAAAATGCTGATCTCAGGGCACAAGTGGAGAACCTGAAAGAGAAACTGCTCACCGAGCAAACGTCAACGAATGCCCGAATAGATCTTGTTCTCCAAACTTTTACTGCAGCTTCCAAGCCCTCTACTCCTAGTGCCTCTTAAGCAACCCCTTTTAGTGACCGGTTTCTATATTTTCTGTTCCTGTTCTAATGACTTGGCAGTTATTTTTTGTTTGTTTGTTTTGATGTGGATGGGATGTATCTGTATTGCTCCCGATGTCCGCAGTCCAATCTTTGCCTTTGTTGTATAGCAAAGGCATATGTTTTATATATAAAAATTATCCTCTTTTACTATCTAACTACTTATG